TTTTTAATAATTAAATTAAATTAATATTTTTTAATACAAATTTAATAACCTAATAAATAAAAGAATGGCCATTACCGTACCACCATGGATCATGGGAAAAATGAGCCTAATCAGGTGGACTTTTTGTCCTCAGGTTTGAATCTTGTAAGACGTGTGACTAGTACCAATTGCATAATATATAAAAGACATAATATTGTTCCCTCTAAACATTGTACAATGGAAGTAATTGTTGAACACAAATACAGAGGGAAGTGAAACTCAGTCCACGTGCAAGAATTTTATTTTGAAGTTTGAGCAAATCCACAAGGCCATGAATTTCCTGTCTCTCCCTTCTCCGCACTCCAGCAATCTAATTTGGATTATCAAACACATACAAAGGGTAGACTAAAACTGACCTGAGGCAAACTTCAGAGTCTTCATACGGTGGAGGCAATTGAGAAGCCAAGAGCATCCACGAGTCAAAATCTTTGCAACTTGGCCAATGATTTCCACGTTTGATTGTGAAATAATGCAACATAGAAGTTGATTATGCACCCAAGATTGCAAAATATTAGAGTAAACATTCATTTATACATAACTTTTACATATTATTTACATAAAATATTAATCATTCATCTCAATTATTTTCAATAGTTAAGATTTGATAAAAAATAAATAAATCTTAATTATTAAAAATAAAGAAACAAATGATAAAAGTTTAATATAAATATAATGTACAAAACTTGTTTATAAATAAATTATAACTCGGTATATTATATATCACACACCTATTAAAGATATAAGAAGAAACAGCCTGGTAAACAGCATCTAGGAAGGCAACAAGCAGCACGACAGGGTAATCCACTGGCCCTTCATCTTGCTTTCTGTTTTACGTATTCCTGACAGAATTCTTGAGGCAAGCATCCAAGAACTAATGATGACACATCTGATTCCAACTGAGCAACCAAGTTGACCATTTTCTCTCATTGCCCTCCTTTCTGATTCTTCTCATTTTACCACAAATAATTGATGGGAATACAAAATGATATCAAGAATTCAAGACATCCCAACTTTTTTGCATAAATGCAGGCAAAGGAGCAGCCAACTCTAGACTTTCCATTTCTGAAGGATTATAGTCCGAAGAGTGTAGACTCTGCAAAGCTTTTGACACATTAGGCAAAATCATTTTCTTACAATGAAGATGAAGCCGGGGATGTTTCTCGCAGATGCTTCCACTCCCCAAATTGAGGCCAAATGGAAGTGAGTTTTCCTTTGGTGAATTCTCATTTGAGTTCTTGTCAAAATTAAACAATGGGAAATGTCGCCACTTTCTATTAGCTTCCCATCCATACTTGTAGTCCCCGACAATGGGAGTGCCTAATACCTCCGCACAGTGTACACGTAGCTGTGGTACCAGCATTTTGTTAGATACCATTTATAGAATAAAATTTGACTGAGAAAGAAAGCATCAAGAAATAGTGAAAGAATTTGCTTCTGATGGAGAATGCTTCAGGAAATAGCGAAAGAATTTGCATACCTGGTGCTTTCTTCCAGTGAGGGGGGACAGCTCTAACCATGTGTAACCTACATTAGTCATAAGAAGTGTATATGTAAGTAAAAGTTACACTAAACAATTTCTATCACAAAACTCAAAGATAGCTCAAGTATTCATTTAACAGTGTTTATCTAAACAGTATGAACCTAAATGTACCAAAAGTTATACTTTGCTCTGAGTTTTATTGGTCGATTAACCCAGGACAAGTCCTTCAAATAATGCTTTTCGTTTAGTTGAATTGACATAAAACAGAGATAGCAACTAACTAATTTATTAAGAGAGTAGACACATTGTTTCTTAATACAATAAGGACAGCCAGAAAAGGGAAAGAAGGATGATTTCTAAGGAGTAAAACTCAGAGAATTGAAAATAAATCTTCTCTTAGAATCCTAACAAACTCAATTCTTATACAATCCTCAAGGTAGATTGGTAAGATGTATGTTTGAGAATATTTTCTTGTCACAACAGATTTTTCAAGTCAGTGTTTATCATCTAAGCGTAACAAGATCATACAGGTCATCAGAGAGTGCCTGGGGTCCAGATCAAACTAGTTTGAATGAAAATGGCAAATTGCATAGCCAAAACAAGACTTAGTTCCCACATATGTTTAGCCTTAAGCTCTATACTGTGTGAAATAAAGATTGAAATCAAGTTACTATGAGAGGTTGACTTAATGACTCGATATTCTGTTATTGCATGCTGAGATGGTACGCTCTGCACATTGTCAATGACAGTGATTCTCTCAGATTTTCCATCACCTACAACCACCTATAGAACATAAACCAAGCAACTTTCAGCAAATGGTTGCAGAAAAAATGGTGAACAAGAGAAACTCTAAGAACATAAGAATAAGATGCAAGAAGAATGATAAGAGGAAATATAAATTGGAGTTAATGCTCTTTTTCCCCATCACAAGAAAATGACTTAGAATATAAATTTTGGCATCTTCAGATGATTGGTATCCATAAGACAATAATGAAATGGTGGTCGTGCTCCATTATGCTAATGGACTAAAATTATCCACTAACTTTAAGACCTTTATTTTGGGGTCAAGATCAGGAGTTCAAAGCTCTGGAACAGCATGCTAACTTGTTTCCCAATAAAAACAAAAGTAATTGGGATAAAGCCTAAATAAGAGGTTAGCTACCATCACCACTGTGTAGTAATTCATATTTTCAAGTATCTTCATCATTTAAACACTTGGGACAAACTTTTCAATCCAAATATTCAGACAGAAATTACGGGACGACAACATTTATTAAGAATCATAAGTATTCTGACCTTGCTCAGTGATGCTGAAACTAACCCCTTGGGGCGTCGGGGAGACCCAATAACAAGTGCCCAGTACTGTCTTTGCAAGATCCTTTCCTTGCTGTCAGTGTCCTTGATAACATAAAAGCAATGCATTTTAACTCCAACTCAACCAAACTATATTGCAAGTTCTACTGAACAAGACTTCTGATGTCAAGCAACCATACATAAGAATGAATACTTACTTCCTTTGATGCACCACATGGTTTCTCACGAAAGATGGAATGCAATACTGTTGCACTTGTTCGTGTTCTTCCCATTACCAATATGCCACTACTATCTCTGTCAAGCCTGTGAACCTAATAGTACCAAAATAATTGTTAATGGAAATAGATGGGTTCAGAAAATTGACCCAGATAAATGAGTAACCTTGTGCCTTATACAATACTTAAAACCAAACTCCTTCAATCAAGTTCATGGTATGAACTATGAACTATTAAGTCCAATTCTGGTTGGAAGTTAGCTTCCTCCTAGAAATTATGTAGGCAATCCACCCCTACC